ACAGGGCTGCACATGCAGGGAACTGGACTTGATGGCCCTGGGGGCCCCCTCCACACCCATGTTTGTATGGATGGATGTATATACATACCTTAATTACTACCTTGCACACTTTATATTCATTTTCTTTCCTTATAGATCCTGCAAGTATTTCTGCACAAGTAACCAGTGTGACTGTCGTTCCTCAATGGGGCCACTTACACGCATAAAGCTACTTGTGGGCATAAGTGTTTGCAAAATCCAGGCCTGCATTTTTATTCCACTTCCTTTGGAAAAGCAGGCAACTTAATTTTAGTGAGAGAAAACTGGAAATCCCAGCTCCTCTCTGGCACACTACAAAACAGCTTTTATAACAAAATAATTACCTAATTAAAGTGCTAGCTTGAATTAGTTACCACAAGGCCAATTAAATCAAACTGCCAGCAGGGATATATTACACCAGATAAGAATTAGACATAGCAAATGAGGAAAAGAGCATGCTTACAGTTAAAATTAGGGAACAGACTTATTTATCCTTTTCTTTTCAAAAGTTACAGTATAATACCAAAGCAATATTGTTTTATTTAACCTATTACAGCTGCTGCCATATGCATCAGTCAATATGAATACTGAACAGGTGCCTGGAGCAAAAGGCAAGTAGCTTCTTTTGTTAATAATTGATCTAACATAGGACAGCTACATTGTTTTTTCCCCTCAAGATAGGTGCATCTACACATGCACTTTAATGTGCATTAAAATAGGCTAATGCATTTTTCTAGTACCTCACAATGGAGGTACTAAATTAAATGTGCATTACCTAAAACACATTAATGAATGTGTAGACATACCCCTAGTGAGGGGCAAAATTTAGCATCACTGAACAAGAGAGTAACAAATGTAATGTCAGGTTTAGACCAGGAAACACAGGAGGCAAAATCCAGGCTCCCTTGAACCTCCCACTTAGATCCAGCTGGCTGAAATATAAGGTGCCTGGCCCCAGAAGAATACTTAAAAGAAGCAGAGGGATGTGCCCAAGTTCTCTATAAAGTCAGGGGAAAGACCTGGGTGTCTCTAAAGGGTGAGGTCAAGAGTTGGATGCTAAGCAGGGAGCCACCAAGACGCAGCCAAGAGGAAACATTTAAGTCAAAGTGTGTCTGAACTCTGCCCCTTTCTAGAGCTGAGCCACCTGATTCCAAGCTATACAATGGATGATTTTGTCCGCACAGGACCCAGAGCACTGACTCTCCTGAAGGCAAGTACCCAAGAGGCCAGGTTCCCAGGACTGGCTATACATTTTACATTAGCCAATCAGTGGATAAAAAGCATAAATAGGCTCAAGAGCAAGGACTGTAAACCAGGACTCTTCATCTAGATGAGGGATGCCCTGGGATGAGGAATGCCCTGTTCAGGGATTGCCCTGAACATTAGGCTGCACATTCAGGTGCCGTTTCCTTCTCTTGCTGGCCCTGTGACTCTTGTATTCCTGGCTGTGCCCCAACTTTCTCACAAAGAGAAGAGGGAATACACTCCCCTTCAGATTGATAGGGTAGCCTCCTGAGAGATGTGGGTTTCAATCCCTTCAGAGTGAGGAGGGCCATAAGCCACCTTTCCCCACTTCCTGAATGAGTGCTCTAACCACTATGTGTCATGTCAAAGGTGGCCAGTAGCATCATGTTTTTAATGCAAACATGCATGGCTGCTGTGTTTCATTCTGAAGGCAGTTCTACTGCTGGTGTGCTTTGGACAACAAATACCCAGTCAGACCCCTCTGGGGACCTAGGTGATGTTTAGATGCTGCCCTGCCTCGTATCTGGATTCTGACCATTTTGGCAGCTCTAGGCATTGAGCTTGCTCAGACCAGGGCATTTCCTAGCATGTACAGATACCAGCTATAGATGTCAGCTGAATTTAGGCACATAAGCAGTTTTATGGCTACTACAGCCAAGTTATCCTGAATCTTTTTGTGATTCAGGCACTAAATTTCCATCTTAGCCCCATTTAGGTGCCTAGTTTACCAGTCTAGATCTGGACCAACATACCTAAAGGAACCTGGCATCCAATGGATATTTTGAATTAAGTGCTCTTTTGGATAAATGGCAAAATAGTCTACTTGCCTACTGGCAAGTACCCTGTACCCACCTCAGAAATATACCAGAAAAGTATGAAGAACATGCTGCCCCCAGAGCTCTAGCTTCATTCAAACCTACAGTTCTGTGAACCATCCCAATCTTCACAGAGAAAGCAATGCTAGAAGGAGCCTACACAAACTCCCAACCACAAACAAGACAACCCAGAACTTTTTTCTGCCATCACTTCTTTGCCTAATCCAGGGATCACTTGCATTTCCAGAAGGTAGGAACAAGCCAGCTGACCCCTCAGCCCAGACACTTGCAGTGTCATTCTCTTGTTTGTTCATTACCCATTAGAGATAACAGTCTTTCATTGCATCCAAATTCAAAACTTGACTTCATTTTAACCAGGATCCCCAAAATAGGTACACTCAGCCCTTGCCCATCAGTTACCACAAGTTGGCAACAGAGGGTCTCTGCTTAGCTGGGGTTCTCAGACAGCTGCAGGTACCAGGAAAGGGATCCTTGCACTCATGAACTTATGCCACCGGGTGTACACGTAACAAGACTGCCTAGGCCTGGCTGATGCAGATTTGTGCCCACTACAGTCAGTGGCCCACTGGCTAGTACACTCCTCTGGGCTGTAGGCAAGTCAGGCTCAAAGTCCCAACTGCAATGAGCACTTGATTGTTTAAAGAACAGATTCAAAAGCAAAACTGAGAGTGATCTGTTCCCATGTACACCATAGCCTGTTAGCTGGGGACACACCTGCTGGTGGGTATTTGTATTCAAGTCCCTGCTTCATTTCAGAGGTCTGGGTGTGTGAAAACAAGACTCCCACTCCCCAGTGCTGATGGGCCATTAGTTATCATGGGGCACATTTACATAAGATACTATGTATAGTATCTTATGTATAGTATCTTATTTACTATAGTAAATCTATAGTACTATAGATAGCAATGAGCTACAGCAACATAGCATCAGTGGGCATGAACCGTGATGCCAACACTACTGTGCAGTAGGGTTGGAAACGACCTGTGCACCGCCAGGACTGTGCAATACTGGCAGTTACTGTGCAGTCAGGTGCTCATGTAGCTGTATCATGGGGGAGTTTTCTCCTCTCACAAGTCTTTCATGAAAAAACAGGCCCAGCCTAGGCACTCCGCTCCTGAGCTCACAGGTGATAATCCCAGAGACCGACATCTCCATTCTCCCTGGAGTTAGACACTTTACTACCTTGAGGAGCAGGGTTTGGGCTTCCACAGTCACTGACTAACAGTGAGGCACCTAGGAAATAGGGCCTATGATGCTTAAAGAGCTCTATGGATCTATCCCCTCATCTTCCATCCTCTGAATTTCTTTTATTAAATATTGTAAGACTTCGTTGCTAATCAGATGTAATGTACCCTCCCAACTGTGCTAACACAACTCTCTAAGCCCAAGAGTAGTCATAGGTGTTCAGATCAAATGAAAGCACGCTAAACCAACCAAAAACTGATTATAGTTCATCTACTTTTGGTTTTGAGTGTAGCAGTACATCTTCAAGTTTCCTGGCTGGGCGGGTGTAAAGGCAATTTATTGCCAATGTTATCACAAGAAATACACCCACACTGCTCTGGCAGGGAGGGTATACTTTTATTCTTTCTTGTTGATTTTTCCCAACCTAAAAATAAGTCATTTCTAGCAGAAAGCATATGGCTGTTTGTAGTATATGGAGAAACAGATCTGAAAGAATAAGGTAAACTTTTTCAGATTTGTTTTAACTTAGAAAGCATTTTGCACCGCTATATTTTCAACTGCATTTTTTGGTTCTGAAAGATGTATTAATCAACTATTTTGAATGCTAGTTTTATCACTGAAACAGTGAGGTGACAAAGGAATGAATAATGGAAGCTCTGAATTTAAATCAAAATTTGATCTTCCATTAAATTCTCATAGTATGTGTATTGTAGAGATTAATTATCTGTTTTCTACCTGCCCCCACCCCTGGGAAGGTTTGCTACATAAACTTGGCTTCGAGATACGTATTTTCATGAAATTCACAAAGCCTCAAACCTAAATGGATCAAATGACAGGCTTCATTCTGGTCTCCATTTCTCTTGTGTAAATCAGTAGCAATTTTCCTGATACTGGCTATGCTGCAAAGGCATTAATCTGGTGCAACTCAAGTGTATTAATTTTACATCTTAATTGTCCTATGGCCCTTTCAGGCAAACTGACCTTCCTATCCATGGCACTGATGTTCATATTCCACGTCTAGCTCTTTCCAGTATACCTCAGTTTCACTAGACCATGTGTAACATCTATCCAGAAAGTAACTTGTTGAAGGCAACATTGTGCTGGGTTAGACCCCCTCACCCTTGGTTACAATGTTTTTAATTTCCTGTGGCCAGGAATAATGTGGGAAGGTCCTGTGGGCAACACTTCCCAACTTGTGGTTTTTAACCAACAGCTAAAAAGGCAACATTCAAACCTGAATGTGACCCCTTTTTCCAAAAGAGAAACAGCCTCAGAGGTGCATTTCCTCCCAGACATCCCCATTGTTCTGGGCACAAATTAATTTGGGGCACTCCACAGCATGGCAAAGCACGCGTCTCCTCTGCTGGCTGGCATATTGGAGGCTCCATCTGCCCTTCTACCCACCTCCTGCTTCTTTGCATTCCCTGCTCCAGAGGGCACCTCTTTTCCTAGTCTCCCCTTTATCTGAGCGCACAAGGAAAGGAACCTCAATTTCTCCTACTCCTCTATGTGGTCTCTAAAGACTGAGTAAATCTGGCCCCAAAAAGCCAAGTACATTTTACTGGAGAGATCAAACAAATTGCCAGAGTGGGCAAAACATTAGTGTCAGAATCACCTCCATTGATTGTCTTTGTTCCCCTTGCCATAGCTGGTGATGCACTAAGCACAGCAGGAGGCAGCCATCCCATTCCTCTCTCAAATATTTGTAATGGGGCGGGGAAGAGAAATCTGTTCTACCTTTCTTTGCCAAACACATGGCAAAGAAAAAAGCCTTTCAGGACTCTTCGTTCTACATGGAATTTCAAAACTAACTAACTCTCAGCAAATCTATACCTGGGGCACACAATGTTTTACTTTATTAAAGCAGCAGGATCAAGGGGAAAAAAAGCTTGAAGCAAGAAAAGGGAGATTGCAAATGTTTTTAGAGTGAGGAGGAGGAGAAAAGAATGAGGACATCAAAGGTGGGGAAATAAATCACAAAACATATTCCCCATCCCTCCCCCTCCATTTCTCCCCTGCCTCCAAATTTACTATAGATGAAGACAAGTTCAGGACATGGGATTTTTCCACACTGGGGGAACAGCGTCCTGTAATTCACAAGTGGTAGTGGTAGGAAGAAAAAAGAGCTGTTGATGTTTAAACTTGTGCTGGGCAGGTACAGGTTTCCAAGTTCTGCATTCTCAGAGCCAAGCAAAAGTGGCCACCCGCCATGGTTGCCTGCCCAAGGGCACAATCCTGCGAAGTGTTCAGTGCCAACAGCTCTAACGACTTCCCCAGGAGAGGTCAGCATACAGGATTGGGCATGTCAAGCACTCATTCATTCCAGGAACTTCACAAAGTTGTACTCAGGATCCAAAGCTGAACCTGGGGTCCTACATCCCCAAAGAATATGCAAGTCCTGTTCCAAACTTTGGAGTGGGCCCTGTTTCTTGTAACAGGCCAAGCCAAGTCCCAGCAACATGGAATACTGTAGGGACCTGGATTCCAGGTTGGTGGCTCAAACCTACCACCACCTCACCTGCTTCTGCTTGGAGTTTCACCAGGCTAGCATGGATGGAGCCAAGCCAGACTTAACAGTGATTTGGAAGCCATGTCCATGCTGATTTTTATGGGTAGTCTCCACCATCTGCATTGCTCTCTTCAGCTCCACCTGTGGGAGCTCTAATGGAGAGTAGATTCAGGCGGCTTCAAGGATCTTAAATGGGTACACCACATGGATCTGCTCTGAACAGGAGTAGACAACACAATGGTTAAAATGCTGGTAGGAGCTTGGAGCACTGCTATCACTGCTATATTGCTGGAGCTGAGCCCAAGGTGGCAATAATAAGGAACGGTGGGGGAAAGTGTCAACAAGGTGAAGAGAAGGTTGAGGGCTTCTGCTGTCCTAGCTGCCAAAAGGCCATGCATGAGCCCACTGTCACCTCCAGATTTTGTAGAAATAATATCCTGCTGGCCTATAAATGTGCAATTAAATCTATGCAGCAGAGCTGGGACTGGGCATACAAACAGCACTGACCAGTTAATCCAGGTTAATCCAACATTGCCCGAGTAAACATCTGCTTCCTTGTTCACAATGGATGCTTTGTAGGGCCCCAGCAATGCAAACTAGTTGAAACAGTCTTCTCTACTGGGCCAAGCCAAGGTTAAAGCTGCTCTCCAGCTCCACAGTGTGCTGGAAGATTTGAATCTTTGCTGTGAACCAAAGTGTAGTTCATATGCAAAACAGATATGGCCCAACCCCTGTCTAAAACACCATGTCTGAACCATCTTAAAGAATACCATTTAGTAACCTGGGCCCCTATCTTGCTAATGGCAAAGATGCATGAATACTATCCTTGGCTGGGGTGGACCTACAACTAAAGCTAAACATATGCCTCAAACAGTTTCAGGATCTGGCTTAAGCAAGCAGTGGTTGCATATATCTGCTATCAGGGCACAAATATACCTCATGCCCCGGTAATCCTCCATGTTTCAGCTAAGATGCAAAGAGCAGCTAACAGGGCTGACCCAGCAGAATGCCCATTTCTCTATGCTTGCTTATGTGTGAGCTTTTCTCCCAGAAGCCCCCTGCTGAGAGGGGTAGCACTGAGTATAAAGGCTGGAAACTTCTGGACAGAGCTAGTTCCAAGAACAAGAGTAGTACAAACTGCTCACTGGTAGCAGGCAGGGAAAGGCCAGCATTGACTAGCTTTCACAAATGCTGTCACCTTCATTCAAGCCCTAGCTAAAACTTTAAATGAATTATTATACACATTAAATTGTCATTTCATCATGCCCAAGCACCATCGTAAAAGCAAATGAAGCACATCAAACAGCACAGAAATGAAAAATACTAGGCTAGTTCCATTATAAGCACCAGCTCAGTGCTTTTACCACCATGCCTCCCAAAAAGGAATAGGACTGTTGTCATCCTGCTTAGCAAATGGTTTATGGCTTCTGCACCTCAGCATACACCCTTTGCTGCACGGAGACAGCGCTCAGTCGTGACATGGTAATGGTCCTGTTGCCCCTTCAGCTCATGGGGAAGGGTCAGTCCTTGGATCCATGTTGGCTTAGGAGAGTGTCAGCCATAATGATGACTAGCACCATTTTCTCCATTATAGTAATGGCCAGTGGGTAAATTTGCTGCTCTCTCTTCCACTTTAAAAGGGAATTACCAGTACTATGTACACACCATTTCCATCCCCATTCAAAGGCTGGGTGAGATTTGGCAGGTGGCTGCCCTAGGAGCAGATTTCAGATGATGGCCTTTCTGCCTGTGGTGCATCCCAGTTGATGCACCACAGGCTATTTTACCCTTTTCATTAATTTTGCTAAGTAATCCACAATGTGGTAGTTAATCTTTTCTAGTCAAAACAAGTATGGAGAGTAAGAAAGGCAGTTCCCACTGTGAGTGCAGGCATTTCTGCTCCTATTGCATCCATGTGGCACTTTCAGCTAATGGAAATGGCTCTGATACCACGTTAACAAAAACAAAAGCACACATTTGCAGTGCCCTTCTCTCTAGCCAGCCCACCACAGACATTCTGGCAGATTTGGTGCTCCTGCCCACTTGGATGAGGGAGGGGTCAGGTACCAGGTATCACAGGACAGTGTACCAACTATAAGTGTGCTCGGCCTCAATCCCACAGTTTAATGTTTTCTCATATAGAATCATCCTGCATCCACACAGATTTTTCTTAAGACTGCTCTTAAGACCACAGATTTATGCTAGGCTGTACCTGCCCCTAGGGCCTGGACTGCTTCAGGAGTGAACAGAGAAGAGGATCTGGCCCCAATAGGCCTAGCTGGATAGAAAGCCAGCTCCCCTTTCCCTGATGTTCTCCTGCCAGCTCTCCTCCCACCAGAGGCCGGAAGAGGTACTTGGGAAGAGGCTATGTAGGGGCTGTAGGCAGATGGTATTTGAGGGCCCAAAGGGGCATGGTGACTACAAGCGTGGTCTGTAGGCAGGAAGTTGCCTGTGGCAGGGTACTGTGGGTGCCTGCCACTTTAAGGGCTCAGCCAAGCAGCCAGCAGGTGCTTGATTGCAGCAGCCATTTTAGATCTCTGGCCATCCATATAAATAGAGCAGTTTGCTGCTGGCAGGGCAGGCAGTAACATTGCCTGGCTGCAAGCAACAAGCTGGAGGTAAGGACAGGAGCTGTAAGGGATGGTTTGGAGGCTCCTGGTCCTGACCTAAAACTGCACCCTGCCCGGAGTGGGTGGCCTGGTGGGGCTCTCAGTGGCATGGGAGCCTCCAGGAAATACCAGGCCAGTTACCACCCCAGTGAAAGGCGGGTTGGGGTGCCTTAACCCCAGCTCCCACAACTGGGTGGGTTACACCTAGTAGGGCCAGAAGGCGGACCCAGGAGAGAGAGTGGAGCTAGAGGCTTGGAGGCCTGATGTAAAGTACCCTCAACTGGTCAATGCTGGGGCCAGGACCAGAATGGTCAAAAGGGCCAGGGGCCCACAATGAGGTACACCCAGAGCTGAAGGCCTGGGGTTTCTGACTGGCCTTGGAGGTGAGTCCAGGGCCTGTATAGCCAAAGGCCCTAGGGGGACCATGCCCAAGAGGGGAAATGGTGCAGGGAGCTAGGCAGCCCCGAATGAAGGTGGAGTAGACTGCCTGAGTGGAAGGATCCAGTTGGGGTCTGGATGGGAGGATTCTGGGGCCCAGAGTGGAGCTGGTGAAATTAACAATTCTGGATGCCATCTGCAAGGCTTGGGCTGTGGTGAAGGGGAGGAACGGAGACGCAGACAGCACACCTGGCATTGGGGCAGGAAAATGGGCAGCCTCCTGCCTAATTAACAACTTGATTAGATATCATCAAGGCATGGCAGGCGAGAAGATGGATGGTTGGCCCAGAACAAGTGGGCGGGGCATTGGTAGATCGGTCCTGAGAAGGCCCCTTGTTACACCGCCACAACCCAAAGGGAAGGAGATACCCCAACGTGAGACTGATAGAGTAATGCTAAAGGGGCCATAAAAGCTCCTTTTTGCTATAGGCTTATTCTGTTACACTCCCATCAACTCTCTCCTACTGGGGACTACTGTAGTTTCACCTTGGTTGATCAAGATACTGGCGTGGATCCACATGCTGGCATGATGCACAGGTGAATTCCTCCCTTCACCATGCAAGGCTAGGAGTTTGGGAGCAACCAGCCAAAATGGGAGCCAACCTCCATCCCCTCCAACTCTCACCCAATCCCTCATCCCCACATACTCCTGTCATGTGCTGGCCCCATTCCTTCCCCCACAAGGAACCACTAGCAGGTTCTTTAACGGCAGCAAAGGGGAAAGCCAGCACCTACCCATAGCCAGCAGGATGAGATTCAATACTAGCACTGCCCTTCAGTAGTAAAGAGAGAACTTGGGTATCCACTTGTAAATGTCAAGGAAATACTTGTATCCAACTCCCTTGGACTCTTTTGAAAGCCCCTATATCCTTCCTGGAGACAAAATATCATCATCCCCAGTGTAACAACATGACAAGGCTTCTCATTTGAAAGCAAGTGGTTGTGACCAGGAGGAGACACCACCACAGTTCTGAGCTGACCTTTCTATATATGTGGAGGCTGCTCATTCCACATATGCAGACTAACCAATTGGGGAATCCCTAAGATAGGCTTAAATTCACCTCCCTTGAACAAGCCAGACCTTGGGCCTGAAACCCCGCAGCCAAAGGTGCCTTGGTGAGCAAGCAAGCAGCAGGTCCTAAGGCAGTCTCCACTCCCACACATCCCACAAGACTATCAGAGAATCCCCTAGCCTGTAACAGCTCAGTAGCGAGAAGCCATCTGAACAGGTACGTTGTTCACCCTGGGCACTTGTACACATGACAGGCATTTAGCCCCCTAAGTTGAAATGGTACATTTTTAATTGTAATGATTAAAAACCCACCATTTCAATTTAGGGGCTTCCATCACTTACAGCAAGGGGTTCAATCCTCCCGTGCCCTCCCCCGCCCCCTGCTGCAAAGCCTGCCTACCTCTCCCACAGCCAGGGGTAAGCTGCCAGTGGTGGGCCAAAAAGCCCCTGAGCTGTAGGGAGCCCTGGTTCTTCCTTCCATGGTGGCAGTGCCCCCCAGGGCTGCCTGAGCAGGCTGGTAGTGGGCCAGATGCTGCCTCACCTCAGAGGCAGCACCTGGCCAGATCCAACTCTTCCCTGCACCCACCAGGGATCAGCGCCTCTTGCACTGTCCCCGCCACCTTCCCAGTTCCCACTACCACCCAGGAACAGGCTGGCTTGTCCCTGGGGCAGTGCAGGGAAGCAGCAGGAGGGCGGCTGGGTGTGCTGTGGGCCAGAGAAGGCAGCAGGGATAGTTCAGAGCACTCTGGAAGTCTGCCCAGGCTCGGGGAAGCTCAGGCTCATTGGGCTTCCAGAGCACCAAGCACCATCCCCACCACCTTCTCCAGCTGCCAACACACCTAGCCACCTTACTGCCATTTCCCCACGCTCACCCAAGAGCAAGCCAGCCCATTCCTGGGCAGTCCCAAATGGCTGGGACAGTGCACACAGTGCTGGAAGCCCCAGTGAGCTCGGGGAACAGTTGGATCCAGCAGGTGCTGCCTCTGAGCTGGGGCAGCCCCCAGCAGACTAGCTGCCCACCTGGGTGGTCCCAGGGGATGCCACCATGATGGAGGGAAGACCTAGAGCCCTCTGCAGTTCAGGGGCCACTTGGCCCACCGGCAGTGCACCCCCCAGCTGCAGGAGATGCGGACAGTCTCCGGGGGAGAAAAAAAAAACCTGTCAGATTAAAAGCTGCAACGTTACAGCTAGCTACATTGCATACTCCTCATTTAGTTTAGTTTGCAGCATAAACTCATTTTAATTGCATGAAAAAACCCCATGCATATAAAGTGTGACACAATTAAAACTGCAAAAACAAGCAATTTTCATCATGTGTACATGCGTCCCTCAATTTCCCCATTTAGAAGGGAGAAAGGGTCAGCCTAGAAAATAAATGGGCTTTGCAGCCCCAAGATCATGATCCCAAAATGCCAACACTCCTGGGAGTCAGTGCTGGGTAGCACACCTGTTTTGCAACAGGTTGTAAATCCTCACAACAGAGGAAGGACTGGAGCCCATAAAAACAGCCACACTTTCTATGACTAGACTTCTTCCTATCTGATGTGTCAGGAACTGACACACATCTGAGGCCATTGCTTTATGGAGCAGCTAGTGACTTTCAAAATCAAAATTTGGGGTGTTCAATTTGTGGCATTAAATGGGCCAGATTCTCACAGTGAGCAGGTGCTCAGCATGGTCTGATAAATTAGGTCTCTTAAATGATCCTGAATAGTTTAAAGAGAAATTTCAAATGCCTCATGGGCCACAGATCTTCTGAACGTCTATTAATCAATGACTTCCCAGTTGTTGCAGAGGCAGGGCATGAGCCCTGGTCTCATCAACCCTGCAATGCATGCCTGGTGTTTCTGGTTTTGTGCCTTGCAAGCTTTAAGTGAAAACCTGGAGTAGCAATTCAGAGAACAACTCAGGTAGATGACTGCTGGACAGTGCAGGGGACTGAATTCGATGATCTGGAAGAAGCCTCCTGAGCCAAAATCCCTATAACTTATCAACTCAAAAACTGAGATGCCCAGCTGCTGTTGAGAATCAGGGTGAAGTGTCTCTATCTTGTGTGCTTGATCTCTGCCTGCAGCAACTGAACAGTGAATATGCTACTGGCACTGACTGCCATGCTTCCATAAGAGGGTTTTCAGGCAATCATCTTCTGTTTGCCATGCCAATATATTAATCTTGATTTTGCCTTACTGGCACTGACAAACAAAAGCATCACAAAATTTTAAGTTAAAATTTCTCTGGATTCAAACAATGACCCCATAAAGCTTGTGTTTTGCTGAAGAGCAAGAAAAGTAATAAGAAAAAAAAGCAACAGCAGAGGCTTTACAGGATATGAACGGTCCTTGGACCGATACTCTTTAATGTCTTCATCAGCGACTTGGACGAGGGAGTGAAATGTACTCTGTCCAAGTTTGCAGATGACACAAAGCTATGGGGAGAAGTGGACACACCGGAGGGCAGGGAACAGCTGCAAGCAGATCTGGACAGGTTGGACAAGTGGGCAGAAAACAACAGAATGCAGTTCAACAAGGAGAAATGCAAAGTGCTGCACCTAGGGAGGAAAAATGTCCAGCACACCTACAGCCTAGGGAATGACCTGCTGGGTGGCATGGAAGTGGAAAGGGATCTTGGAGTCCTAGTGGACTCCAAGATGAACATGAGCCGGCTATGTGACGAAGCCATCAGAAAAGTCAATGGTACTTTATGACGAATAGGTCCAAGGAGGTGATACTTCCCCTCTATCGGGCGCTGGTCAGACCGCAGTTGGAGTACTGCGTGCAATTCTGGGCACTGCAATTCAAGAGGGATGCGGATAACCTGGAGAGGGTCCAGAGAAGGGCCACTCGTATGGTTAAGGGCCTGCAGACCAAGCCCTATGACAAGAGACTAGAGAAACTGGACCTTTTCAGCCTCCGCAAGAGAAGGTTGAGAGGCGACCTTGTGGCTGCCTATAAGTTCATCACGGGGGCACAGAAGGGAATTGGTGAGGTTTTATTCACCAAGGCGCCCCCGGGGGTTACAAGAAATAATGGCCACAAGCTAGCAGAGAGCAGATTTAGACTGGACATTAGGAAGAACTTGTTCACAGTTAGAGTGGCCAAGGTCTGGAACGGGCTCCCAAGGCAGGTGGTGCTCTCCCCTACCCTGGGGGTCTTCAAGAGGAGGTTAGATATGCATCTAGCTGGGGTCATCTAGACCCAGCCCTCTTTCCTGCCTATGCAGGGGGTCGGACTCGATGATCTATTGAGGTCCCTTCCGGCCCTAACATCTATGAACAAGGGTTTCATGGGAATACAGTGTCCAACTTTCCAAAGGCTCAGCCCTAAGCAGCTGGCCTTGAGAACACTAGAGAATCCTTACCCCAGTGAGGTCAACAGGAACTACTGTATGTTTTGAAACTGTCCCATAACAATTCACCCAGTAGTTTGCTAGCTTGTAAGACCAAGAAAGACCCCTATGACCACTTCCTCTGGTTCCTGCCCATGAGAGATCATGAGATAGCAAGCCTGTTAGCTCCCGTTACATCAAACCACCCACAAAATCTGAAAGAAACAGATGGGAAGGCTGGCTAGAGGGCGCAGCACCAGCCTGCAGAGGCTGGTGAAATAAATTATTTAGACAGAATGAAACAAAGGAACAAATTAAACACTGCAAATTACTCACAGACTAAAAAGGATTGATTATTCATCTGTAATTAAAATATACGGCTGGAATAGTAACTGCTTGCAGAGTAATCAGAGCACTCTATGACTATAAAAATTTAATTCAGTTTGTGCAGCCAATTAAAGAAAAACAGCCAAATAATCAACCAAGGCTGCTGACTTGTAATATGAGGTCATAGGGCAGCAATTAACAAGCTCCCTGAAATTGCACTGATGACTCAGTAAAAATTAGACAGGTACCGACTACATTATCAATGCTGCCCATGATAGCAACACCACCATTCAATCAAGCCTGAGACCAAGCAAGTTGCATAGAAAGGGGCTTCCTCACAGAAAATGAAGTCTCACAGCTAGTTTCCAATGGCTCAAGAACTTGCTCAACTACATGTTCACCAGAGAACTTGTAAACCTCATGGTTCTGTCACTAGCACGTTGTCTGGAAGCCAGCAGAGACATTGGCCCAGATCCTCAAAGATATTTATGCACCAAAACCCCAGGGAAGTTTGGTGTCCAAGTGTCTGAGCCCTCATGGCTCAGACTGTGCATGGACTGCTGTGCACTGAAACCCAAGATGAGGGCTGGAAGCTCAGCAGTAAGCAAAGTGCTGTTTTGTACAAGATGTTTGGAAGGCATAAATACACAAAGCCCCTTTACCATCAGCAAAGCTCTACCACTTTACACCAGCAGCAGGACTGGCCTGAAGGGTGCAATGCAGACATAAGATGAGTGGAACCTGAGAACACTAATACTGTAGGAAGTTTCTATACATGGGATAGATTTTTAGATCAATAAATCTGGACCCCAGTTATGTGATTCTTGCTCCCTTTGGGAAGCATGCAGGTAATCCCCTTGATAACACCAAGGTTTATTGTGAAATAGAAGTAACTTACCAGAAGGAAGATTGATGCCATATTGCGTACAGGTAGGTCACAATGAGATTGTACCCATCACCAACACCTGCCTTAAGAGACAAGGAAAGGGAATGAAAACTCCTTGGAAAGGGGAACCAGCAAGGAAGAGTCAAAGGACATTTTCTGGGGAATAGATGGAATAGTGCACAACTCAAAGCTGCTGCACAATTCAAAAGTCCACAACTGCCTGCCCACCCAGACACCTAGCACACTCATCTACTACACCTTGATTTTCTTCTTTAAAATGGGCCTTCATTTCAGTCGGAGCATAATCTTCTGGATGCCTCTCCTCTGTCACATCATAAAACCCTTGGCCCTCACTAACTCCTGCCTTCTCACACCCTCCAAACAGATCAAAAGGCACACTTATCAGAACTGGGGAAATGTCATACCCATAGGAGTTCAACTAGCTAGCTTACCCAAAAAGATCCAAAAGGCTCGCTCTAATGGCTCACCTTAAAGGAATTAAAGAGGCTCACCCCCCACAAAGGAAAATTACCTACCAAACAAGAAAAGTCAGCCACAAAATTAACTTATCCCCAATTAGTAGCAAAACCCCTTGAAGAGTCCATTCTCTCCTGCAAAGTTTCTTAACTGCAGGCTCTCCATCCAGACACTGCATGTTGCTCAGCTCAGGCTACCATTATCAGGTTGCCTCCAAACTCAGTCTTTACTGAGTTTCTTCTAGCCCTGGTCTTTCCACAGGCCTCTTCTATCACTGTTAGGCTTTCCCAAGATCCAGCCCTTACCCAGGCCCACTCACCATCACAGCATTGCCTCAGCTCCATCCAACCACATCCCCCCTCCCTCCCACTGCCAGGAGCTTTCTGCCTCATGCTATGTGTTTATATAGCTAAGTAGGGGCAGGACTTCCAGTCTGGGTACACTGTCTTAAAGGCCTAGACCCTGTTTCCATCCTCTCTTCCTAATGCAACCAGGGACCTCAAAATACATAAGAAGTTCTCAGCACAGAAAGGAGCAGATCATTTGCAAGACTCTTGAACCCTGCCACTTGACTGCCATAAGTGTGTGGCCAAGCAATGCCTGTAGCATGGATTGGCCACGAGGGGGGAGTACACTCTCCTCGGCCAGAGGCTGGGGGAATGGGAGGGATATTTGCTTTTGAGTTTGGGGGCATGTTGGTTTTGTTGTACCTTCTTATTTTAATATTTTACTCTGCTTCTTTTGTGGGAAGGTTGGCATAGAAATCTCATAAACAAATAAATCAGCACCTCTGGCCCAACAGTCCCAGCTATTCCCTCTAACATGCCATTTTTTTATTCTCCTGCTGAGATCCTGACCTCCTGAAGGACTGCAGGAGGAACACCACAGTTGTGGACTCCCATCTAAAAGCCACTCCGTGCTTTGCAGAATGCACAGTTGCACACATAGGGCTTCCTTGGGAGACAAAGTAATATTGAAAGGCCAGGACTATACCACACAGACAGGGAGCAAACTCCCATGGTACAACTCAAACCCAAATAAATCTGCAGTCAGAAAAGGAAAACAGAGCATGGATTAGGAAGGGAAAATAAAAAGAGGAAATAGTAACACAGCCACCACAGCAAAAGTACTCTACAAGCACAAGAGGATGAAGCATATGCACACATACACACATGCATGCATGCACACATGCAGTACCTAGATGAGTAAGATCTGATGGCAATGCTATAGATGATAAAAGCTTCAGTGGGGAGAGAAGCCAACTGCTAAAGCACTCGATATTTAAACAATAATCATATCTCAATCTACACAGGATGCAACAGTAATCCCTGAAACATGACTTGTCAACATGCTGTCGAAAAGACCTTCCAGTGTTGCTCGTAGCCAGAAGAAATGAAAAAGATAAAACTGATGTGGACAGGGAGAGAAAAGGATGACGGCCTCCAGTGCAATACTTGCTCAGTAGCATTCCCCATGGGCCAGAGAAGGTTGTGTACCGCTGGCATATACACTTGAAACAGAAGGTAAAGCTAGAGTGAAAATTATGGTATTTTGACATTCGCCCCCATCACAAAAGCCCTGGCAGTTTATAGCAGCAACATGAACAAGGCTGCTGCCAGGGAAAACATGAGAAGGAAGAATTAAAGCACAAGGGAAGAATGGAGGAAGAATGATCACACAGAAAAAAAATAACAGAAACACATCCCTCCTCTTACTGTAAATAACCTCACAGCAATAGCCTTCTATCTATACAGTACTGGGATGCTGGTTATTGCTTGCTGCTTATGTAAGTTAGCTGATTTCTATCTCTTGCTCTATACTATGATTCAGGGATTGAAAGCGCAAGAACCATAGCAGCCCTCTCTCATGTGCAGTATATGCCTGGTAATGTTTAAGAACAGAGACGATAACGTATCTATTTTCCTCTCACACAGTGTATTTTTCTAAACACTTGCCCTTACTATTAGCTATTAACAAGCTGTAGAAGAAAGGAGGAAGTTCCTTTTAAACCTTTCTTTCTTTTAACCAGCACACCCATGCAAATCAAACCAAGAGTGCAGGAAATAGTACCAGCCCAACCCACCTGAAGTCCAGGGGTACCCTTCCATTGGCTGTGGGAATTGCTATTTTGCAGTCTTTTCTAAAGACGCGAGTACAACTTCCAGGTCTAATCAGGTCTGAGGAAACAGAGGCCTCTGGCATTAGAAACACATTTATGTAGCCACCAGGCCAGCCCCTTCTGTTTGTTTGACACTGAAGCCAGTTTTAAAGGCATGTGCAGACTATATTATCTCATCACTACAAAATCCCCAGATTGTGCCTCCTGTCTCTTGAGTCACATGCCAGCTTTCCTCTCACCATTTCTTTTTTACTTCAGAGCAGTGGCTGAAGCTGCCTCACAGTAATTTGCAGAGTAGTTTCTGCAGAGAAACATTGAGATACTTCAAATAAATGAATACCTGAGGCATTACCAGCCTCAGATGAGTACTTTAGCATTTTAAATAATTCATGAGCTCCATGCCTTGAACTGAAGGACAAGGGGGAGATTGCAGCAGAGATTCTTTATGGGCTCTCGTAAACAATGCAGTACCTGGCATCATATTTAATAATGGGAGGGAAATTCTAAAACTTGCACAAAACCATTAACAGGAAAAATAAATATGTGGCGGGGCTGGAGCCTCTGAGGTCAGGAGACACTAGGGAGTGGTAAGTAAAGTGCAGAATCAGGAGCTTGGAAAACTCAGCTCTTTTCTGACCATTGCCATGGCAATTCTGGTGACCTTGAGTGAGTCTTGCTGAAGTTCAGTGCCTTTAGTTTCCCCATCTGTATAACAACACTCATGTCACCCACTAGGTTGTTTGCATGGAGACTTATCTCCGTGTTTTTGAAGCAGCCTGGGATGCTCAAGTCAAAGGTGCTGGTGATAGGGATTCAAAGTAGTGCAAGAGGAGCTAAATCAGAAGTCTGGGTTTCAGGAGGTCTGCTGTGGTGCTGACATGGCTCCCATTACCATCACATCTGAGCCCCTGGTGATCTTTCATGGGTTTGTCCTCATGGATCCGCTCTGCAGAGGGTAAGCAAACTAATTCACCTCTCCGTGCTTAAGTGTCTTGATCAATAAATGAGGGAAATTACTTTCCTGTAGCAGGGAGGAAGAGAGGTCCTAGGCTCAAGCCATTATTGTTTGCAAAGTGCCCTAAGATCCTTTGCTGCGAAGTGCTGGGAAAGCTGATGACATTAAATCAGGGGGTTGGGAGGGACCCTCTGAGGTCAGCTAGTCCAACCCTGATAACCAGTCAAGGGTGGCACTGGACAATTTGACACTCCATGCGTGGTCCCATGATTCATTCATCCCTCCTGCTGAGAGTGCACAGGTGACTGCTAGAGAAATAAGAGGCCTCAGCATTTGGTTGACTCCCCTTATCCATTGCATCACACCTAGGCAGTGGAGTGGAGCAACACAATTACCCCCTGTCTGCCCCACACTGGAGCTTGGGTGAGAATTGGTGAGCTAAGATGGAGGAATGCTTGTGAGCTGGTGGAGAAACCACTAGGAGAAATGGCAGAGCTTCCCAGCCCTTTGAAGGAGGGGCAATTTTGACCGGTCTCTGACACAGGTTACTCCTAAAAGTCCCAGAATCCTCATCAGCTAAGCATAGGTGTCTTCTATCTGTACTTGACAAGAGGTCATAACCTCATAAATTTATCATGATTCCCAGGGCTTGTAAACCCTGAACTGGTGTACTTTACGCAGAGATAATCCTCAACTCCTCCCACAGACTTACAGTTAGAATGGAACATGTTATCCCATGTGCCTTGAGGTGCTTCTTACAAGGACTGGCTCGCACCCAGGCCCAGAGGTCTGTGCTGCCTGCCCATCTCATTTGGGTTCTTCAGAAAATGCTGGTGTTGATCCATAGCCTACAGGATTTGAAACCTACTTACCTATGAAACTTCCTCTCTCCCCATGCAGCATGCAGCAACTAAGACCAGCTGGGAAATTTGTGCTAACAACTAGGTCATTTAAATGGTTGGACAGATGGAAGCACAGTGTTCTCTAGGGAGATCAACTTGTCAATTCATTCCTCACAGCCCAGCAACACCTGGGCCCATAAACCTTCGGTGCTCACCGTAACACTGACCTATTCCTCCAAGCATCCAGGGAAGGGTTAGAAGAGGGAAGACAGCCAAGAGGGCAACTATTACTGGTGGATGGAGTGAGTGGCTGTTTATTTGTGACTGTGTATATGTTTTGTACTGCATAGAAGACAGGCTAATTTTACAAGCAGATTGATAACACTGTGCCTGGTTCTCTGGCATGCCACTACAGGTTTATGAGACTTGGAGGGGAGCTGGGCTGAATAGACTCTTCTGTGCAGCCAGACTGTTTTTCTGCCACTCTTCCATTTGGACAGTGAGACTGAGGACTCCCTGCTGGTTGGTTACCAGGGAGCTGCAAGATGGCCTTGATGTGCATGCTCTGCTTGGCATCATGGTAGTCTAACCCTCTGAGGGTGGTAGAGAAAACACATGATGACTAGAGTGCTAAAATAGCTTCTCTGTCTCTGAAAAGTATCTGGAAAGAGCCATATCGTCAATGATAAC